GGCGATATCATAGTCTAACACTGTAAAAATGTGTATTCTATTTTGCTATGGTACTTTCACATTTTTTTTCTGCCTCATTTACATTTTAAAAATTATTTGACTGTATAAATCTTGGGGTAAAGAACCTCACACAGGAATTCCATCTTTTCCCTGTAGCTAAACACCTCGTCAGTTGCTTTAATCCTACTCTTGATTAATTCATTGTCATCTGCCAATCTAATGTGCTCGCCTCACCATATGTAAATCCCTATGTGTATGTGGGATACTTTTGGGCTCGGTATCTATCCATTGAAAATCATTTATCTTTGAATTCTAAAAAGGTGCAGAGTCAGGGAGCCTGGGTGACATGTCCCGCAGGAGTTCTCCGGCACGGAAGGAAGAATGCAGCTTTGGTGGCAAAGCTCAAGAAGGACGCCTGTCCACACCGTTGGCATGTGGCAGGTTCCTCGTGGCTCGTCCTCGGCTTTGGGAGGAAAGCCCCCCTTGGTAGACACACCCTCTGCATCATCCACACAGGCTGCTGAGGCTCAGCTTGGTCTGCATCCGCTTGGGTGTAGCCAGTGTGAGAGATTCCAGGCTTAGAATACAGCTTCTGCTGTTGTTTGGAAATATGCTTTGCTTCCCTCCAGCCAGCACAAGACTTAATTACCATATGCATTTAATACTTTGGTAGTTTTGAAATGCGGCCTTTCATGGCATGCTTCAAGCTTCACCCTACTTGTGATGACAAGGTCACAGCATTACTTGTAAGCCGAAAAGCTGGAGTTCCTACTGCACCCTGATTTCCTGATGGCCTGCGCTGTCATTGCGTGGAGTGGTTGACACCAAAGAGTGTGGAGCTGGGCCACAGGTGTCAGCGTTGCCCGGTGGGTGAGGTATGCTGTGTTCAGGCGGAGAGGAAGGAGGAGGAGGCTTGGCTTGGGAGAGTTTCCACCCGAACCTCCCAGATGTGAGGTCGGAGTTTGGGGACAGTGGATCCTCAGTCTCCTCTTTGCCCGGCTCTGTCTTCTCAGCCCGGGAAGGTTGCACAGGTTGAAAAGCTGCCTTCGGAGTCCCAGCTCTTTGCCCCTTGGCTTTGCCAGGTCTTCCCTGATGCCTTCTTTCCCTATCTTTGGGAGGATTTCGGGGGACATGAAATAATTTATCACCCCCACCCAGTTACTTTAGAACTCAGCTCCTGCAGGGTAATATGCAGCTCTCTCTGCTTTATCCATACCCAGTGTTTGCCAGTAACCAGGGTGACTGCTGGGCCAGCCTGTTGGGACCCTGCCCACAGAGGCTCTCTAGAGGCTGTTCTGACGTGGCGATATAGAGGGAGACCTTACCAGGAGTTTGTTTCTAATCAGTCACCGTAAGCTCCGCCCTCAAACATGAGTTGAAATCAAAGATGTTTGCCATGTGCCATGTGTAAAGGGAGGCTCACCACTTTAATCTCTTCCCCTCTTCTCTGCAGACGTTCTTGTCTTACAATGGGCACCTCCTCATAAACCCATCGGGGGCTGAAAATATCCTTAAATTTCAATGCGTTAAACACACCTAGCCTGCACACCTGGCTCGGCAGCGTGGCCCACAGTGATGGTGGCTGGCATCGGCGGCTGCTCTGCCTGCCCCTAGGGCTGGAACCAGGTGGCATATTGCCAGACAGGGAAAGACCCAGAGTCAAAACTCGGTTTCTACTGCACACATCGCTTTCCTGCATCATCAAGTGGAAGAATGGGGAGCAGAAGTGCCGGAGATCAGGTCAGGGGACATATATGTACAGTGCAAGGGGCAGACAAGGCCAGGGTGTGTGGTGGGTAGCGATGCCCATCCCGTCTTCCTCAACCTATTGGAGTTGCCTCCAGCTCTCCGAGTGCAGCCCCTGTCCTGGAGATGGGGAGCGCGTACCTGGAGGTTGGCCTCCTGGCAGTGTCCATGCGGCTGCTTGGTCACCAGAGAACCCTCCCAGATGTCAGTGGCAGAAGGTCAGTTTTGTAGTGGGGCTGCACCTGGTGCACAGCCGGTGGGAAGGACAGCGACAATGAGTCACCAGGCCCTCTTGGTCGCCATCGATGACACCCCATGGGCAGGGCCAGGGCCCGCGGGGTAGGGAAATGCTGACACCAAGGCTCAGGGCCTCACCTTCACCGCTCTGCACCCTCTGCTATGTGCAGACCACAGACACTTTCTTGTCCTTCTGCACTCAGCTGTCATGTTGCAGAGCATCAGGCAAACTTGAATGTCCCAGCAAAGGAGTAGCATGGGTAATGGCCCCAAGGCTGCAGCTGCTCTGGACTGTCCAGTTCTGCTCAGAGATCAGCTCTACTGTTGTGCGTTGGCATGGCCCGTGGGACACTGCAGGGTGGCTGACGGAGGATGCTGCACAAGCCTGTAATGCCAGCACTCTGGGAGGCGGGGGCAGGAGGACTGCCAGTTACAGCCCAACCTGGGCAACTGAGAAATGTAGCAAGACCCTCTCTTAAAATAAAATATAAAAACAGCTGGAGATGTGTAGCTCAGTGCAAGGGCCCTGGATTCCATACCAGATAGCAGAGTCGGTACCACCCCAGCTGTGGGGTGGGTGTGTTTGGGTGAGGGATGGAGAAGCCAGCAGCCAGAGGGCTGAGGGATAGTTTCCACTGACCCTAGCACCTGGGCATTTTCCATGCTGTAAACCTTAGTTTCTTCCACTTCAGTGTGAGCAAGATCACTTCCGTTAGCTATTGTTAGCCAGGAAGTTGCCAAGTCAGTGGGAAGTGTGAGTCTGCAAGTCTGGGTTAGACAGAGTTTCCCGTGAAGCCGGCCTCTGTGTAAGATGGTCTGAGACCCTGAGTCCCTCTTCTTCCCAAACAGTGAGCAGTGCCAGACTCTCTCTTGTTTATTTATTTTGCAGTCTGGCAGCAGTGGAATCACCCTAGATGTCGTGTGTGTCATATATGAATTTCGGGAACACACTCAGATGTGTGAAAGGGGCCCAGCTTGCTTACCACTGGCAGATCAGGGTCACTGTTTTCAGGATGGGGGCACTTTATGTCCCCAGAGGAGACCTTTCCTCAATAGGCCAACTCCCCCTCCTTCATTCTGATGAGTGGAATTCTGATTCTCTGCCTCGAGTTCCAACCCAAGCCTGAGTCCCAGCCCATTTTCCTGGAGCTGTGGGTGGACGTGGCCAGGACCTGTGGGACAGGCAGCTCTCACTCTGTGGCTTAGAGCTCTGTCACCTCCCTATCCTGTTGTCGTCTTCATACTGGCTTCCTGTGTACACAGGGGGGCCCATTTCACATCTTTGGGCCCCCGGGGCCCCTGATGTTTGAGGCAGTAACTGTTGGAAAGGTAAGACTAGAAAGTATTAGAGGCCTGCTTTTTCTGAAAGAGGGCAAGTTGGTAAGTTGAAGTTACTATTTTTTAAGACTATAAACCAGAAAGTAAAATTCTATTTCTTCTCTGTCTGTTGACAAAGCAAGATGACTTTTCCTGGCTTGGGCCCAGCTCCACCTCACTAAGGGGAGAGTGGTACTCGTGGAGAGAGGGTGTCCCTGGGGGTGGGAGAGCTTGTCATTTCCAGGGAGTCAGGGAGTGGAGGCCAAGCCAGCCTGGGCTCTGGGCCTCGAGCCAGGTGTAGGTGGCGAAGCATTCGGGGCACCTGTGACCTGTGCCCAGCATTGTCCCGCCACATGCACTGAGGCACCCCACATCATCATCCTTCCCAGCAGAAACGGGAGCCTGGAGATGTGAGACGCACCCAGAGTCCTCGAGGGCCAGCATCAGGACCGGCTCCTGTGCGCTCCACGGCATGGTTTGATTTGAGTTGCGGTTCCACCTCGAGGCCGCTGCTTCCTGAGCAGGGCAGTGAGCTCTGCATAACCAGGACATCATGGTTGGAACCTGGGGCAGCTGTGTAACTCGGCACGAGCCAGGGATGAGGATGGCCAGGATGCTGTCAGTATCTGGGCCTCGTGTTGTACCCAGAGTCACCTGGGTGGTGGGGCCGCGGTGGCGTCTGAGTGTTGGGTGGCTATGGCAGTGATGTCTGGTGTCTCCCGGCCTGACCCATAGGTGGCCCCATCTGCTGTGGCTGGAGAAGCTGTGCTGTATCCTTCCCACTCAAGCCTCTGAGGAAGGAGCTCATGCTGAGGGAAGGAAGAAGGTCTTTCTTGGAACGTTTGGAATTTCATGACTTGTTAGAGTGTATCAGTAGAGTAGCCCCAAACAGCCACATGTTGAAGTCTGTGTTTGAAATCGGACAGCTGGGTCAGGAAGGCCACGCCACCAGGGAGGGCCTGGGGTGACTTTCCCTTCCACTCGGGTTGCCCAGTGTACACTGAAGTGGTCATTTAGGGTCATGGTTCTGCATATGGAAATGGCATGGGAATCGATTGGGAAATATTTGCACATGCAGGTGGAGTACGACCTTTTCCCCTTTGGTCTTGCCGTACATTCCTGTGTGTGGACAGTGCAGTCACATGCACCACGCTAGCTCCTTGCTCTTTGGATGGAGAGAGTCCGCTGCAGCTGAAACATCAGTGCTGCTGCCACCTGAAGTCTTCACAAGTCACACAGTGCCAGGCTTCAGGACTAGTTCCTGCCCAGGTCCAGTGCCGAGAAGGCTATTGGGGTGCGAGGTGTCTGAGGGAAAGACCCTTGCTTGTCTGGAGCGACTGGGTTGGGTTCGATACCAGATCAGAACTTCGCAAGCCAGCAGGGGTCATGGCACATGCTGGTAACCCTAGGGCTTGAGAGGCCGAGGTAGGAGTATCACTGTGAGTTCAAGGCCCGCCTTGTCTTAAAAAAAACAGCAAAACAAAACAGAACAAAAACACGAATTGTGCAAACCAATATTGACATTACTGTGTGTTGGATGTTTATTTCTAATTTTGGGAAACTCCATGTAATATTCATTTCAAAGGGAGGAGACTTGACTAGAAGCTAAAAGGCCAAGCCCCTCTTTTGGGCACTTGACCCGTCAGAAGACCTGGATGTGCCGCAGTGCAGAGTCTGGGGATGGCGAAGGGGGATGTGTTTGCGTGGCACAGGCAGTGATGTGGCGTGCAGGCCGTGGATTACTGCCCAGCAGCTTTGCTTGGCGGCCTGGTCGAGTGCTGTGATTTCAGCTGTGGTCACAGCTGTGGTCACCATGAGCCTCCTGACCAACCCACCTCCCCCGTTTGCTGCAGACTCTGTGCAGGTGAGTACCACTGCACCCACTCACGCGTGCATTACCAGTGCACGGGGCCAGACGCCTGTCTGCTCTCGGTCCTCAGCCCCTCACATCCTCTCGTGTCTGCTGTGTTCAGGTAGTTTTGTTCTCTCCACATCTTTTCTCTAAAAAGGACAACCTTATCTTTTCTTATTTCTTTCCGTGTGTGTGTGTGTGTGTGTGTGTGTGTGTGTGTGTGTCTATTCTGGTTATTGAACCCAGGGCCTTCATATCGGGTTACATCCTCAGCCCTTTTCTGTTTTTTATTTGGAGACAAGAGTCTTGCTAAGCCGTGAAGTTGTGCCAGAGTGCTGGATTACAGGCTGCACATCACATCTGGATTCCCATCTTAAGGTATGGAGATTCCCATCTCCATAATGACCTCTCTGCCCATGCTTGGCTTTGTCTTGATTCCTCTTGCTTTCTGCCTGGCTTTCACGGTGCTGGACTCCAAGGCCTGGAACCTTCCCTGATGGCTGGAGGGGCTGTCCCCTGGTCTGTCCCTTTGGTTCTTCTATTGAACTAAATTTCCCAATGTCGGTGAATTTGTTTGAGTTCTTTTATGCACCCTGTGATGACTCAGCATGTTAAAACAGTGACATTCATCCTTGGGATTTTTGCTAAACTTTTGCTGGTTGTGCTCACATATCATACATCAGAGCAGCTCACTGAATGTTTATTAATAATAAGGCTGGATTGCTATTAGAGCAAGAGAAGTCTGATGAAAGCCTTGTTTCCTGTCTCTAAAAAGCCTGCAGGCACGGGTGGTAACAGGTGTGCTTGGGTTGTATTAGAATGCATGGCTTTCCTTTAAAAGTTCAGCACTGTTTTATGGTAAATTTTTAAGTCTTTCCCTTAACCCTTGATGTCTGTGCTTTGAGATATTATTGGGTACCAACGGAAGGGGCTCTGAATCAGCGTTCTCTATTTTAGCTATTTTAAAAACAGCTATTGGCATTTGTTACATATTTGTACCTATAAATGTTTTACATACCAGTTCTACAACTGGATCTGTGATTTATGTGCCCAGCAGAGAATTGTTTGATTAATTTTTTTTTTTTGAGATAGGGTCTTACCATGTGGTCTAGGCTGGCCTTGAACTTGTGACCATCTTCCTGCCTCAGCCTCCCAATGTTCTGGGAGTGTAGGTGTGCACTACCATGCCCAGGTTGGTTAATTAGTCTTGAATAGTGTGCACAGGTGACTCTCTGCTTGGTGGCTTCCATAGATGAAAGGTTCTGCTGTTGTGACAGGGTTGAGTCTGTGACGATGCCAATCGAATGCCACACAGAGGGCAGTTCCAGTGTCAGTTCTGTTCAGTGGCTCTCTTTGTCAGCGTAGCTGATGGTCCCGACAGTTTTGGTGCATGGCCAGCTCCAGCACAACTTGATATCAATCTGTGAGCATGTTCACTTGGGTTGTAGTAGAGGCTGCGTGACGTGACGGCAGAGCAGTTCATCTGTAACTCAACATAGACGGTGTGAAACTATTTTCTCTTTGGAAACAATTTTTTTTGCATTAACTGCTGGGTTCTGGGTGCATAAATAGAGTTGATGCCTATATGTCATTGCTAATGAGCAGATGACCGTGGTGCTTCTGCAGAGATGTCATGGCAAAGTGCAAGTTGCTTGTGCTTATTATTCCGGTCATGGCTTAACACTGGGTGTTACAGTAAATCAGTCTTGGATTAGTACTAGGTTGCTAGGAAGGTGGAAGATTGCAGGTGAGAACAAATTGTCCCCTACCTTTTATGCAAGCTCCAGTGATGGTGGTTGGCTGTGTGTGGAGGGGCCGAACCATCCCACCACAGGTAGAAGTCAAGTAGAGCCTCTAAATAGGTCATGGGGTTCTGACAGACACCCTACTCCTTCTGCTTCCTTTAAAAGCTCTTGCCACTGAATGTCATGAAAAGTGTTCTGTCCGCCCAGCAAAGCAAGATTACCAACAGCGTGGTCCTGGCTGCTGGCCATCCTCCCAGTGTTGTGAGGATGCTTGTTGCCACAGCAACCCCAGGGCCTTTCTTGGTGAACTAGGTGCAGCTGCTCATGAAGTGTGAGTACCTCCCGGGAAGACAGAGGGCACAGCTCAAGTCCCAGGAGTCCAGTGGAGACCCGGGGTGGCACACGACCTGTGTGGGAGGGTGGAGTGATGCTGGAAAGTGGTTTTTGTTCTTCGTCTATTTCCTGACCTGGCATCTCCAGAAGGACAAGTGTGTAGTCTGTGTTAATGAGGTAGTCTCTAGATAGGTCTGGGATGGGGGTTGGTCACAGGAAGTACCAAGACAAGGTTGAGGGTGGGAACTCTGCGGCCTCATCCCCTCCCAGTGCCGAAAGGTGGAGCTGATCACCAATGGTAATTGATCCTGTCCCAATAATGGAGATTCCATAAGAACCTGAAGAGCTGAGTTTCAGACCCTACAGAACATGGGCTCCTAGAAAGGGTTAGGGGTGCTCCGCCTTTCCACGGCCCCCATCTCTCCATCTGTATTGTTCATGATGCCCTGTGTCACAGTGGGCATCTTCCTGCCACTGTGACCTACCCCAGCAAGCGCACCACACCTTTGGGAGGCCTCACGGATTCACACCAGTGGTCAGGCAAGTACTTGGCAGCCTGCCACTTCCATGGCGTCTGAGTGGGGAGACTGGCTATACCTCTGAGTAGACTGAGGCAGAGGGAACCTTTCATCTATGGAAGCCACCAAGCAGAGAGTCACCTGTGCACACTATTCAAGACTAATTAACCAACCTGGGCATGGTAGTGCACACCTACACTCCCAGCACATTGGGAGGCTGAGTGAGGCGACAGGACCCCAGGCTGGCATCTGCCCATATTGCTGAGTGCTTCGGGAGGACCCTCTGCACCATCGGCCACAGAGCGCTCAGAGTTAGGAGAGTGCTGAGGAGGATGAGGAAAAAGACCCCTGCCTTCCCTCTGGAGGTGGCATTTTTCCAAATACAGACATGGGGAAGGATGTCAGTGTGAGGAAATGGTTTGTCTGTCCAGGACAGTGACAGGTTTTGCTGCTTTGGGAATTTGTGAGATCTGAAGCCCAGGGCCCAGGATGAGTTTTCTCCTCCTGAAGAAGTATGTACTAAGCAAATAACAGGCTACACAGGCTGTAAGATTCCTCTTAACCTGAGGAGAGGAAAACACAGGTTTTTAAGTTTGTCAGATGTACTATTTTTAAAAATGTTTTTAAAGATGAGGTATTGCTCTGTGGGCTGAGACTTGTGATCCTCTTGCCTCAGCTTCCAGGTGACTGGGACCATAGGCAGGTGCTGTGCTCCAGTTACACTGTGTTGATTACAATACAGGCAAAGCTGCTGACCTGAGAGAGCCCGAATGCTTTCCGCAGCATGGCGATTGTGTCTCCTTCATCAGCCCCGGCTGTGGATGGGCTGGCTTGGTGGTGGTAGGGCAGCCTGTGGCCATGATCCCTTATGTAGGCTCCCAGCGGGGCACCCAGCCACCACATGGAAGATGGGCGATGCATGTCAGCCCGTGACCCTGGGACTTCCAAGACTCAGAACTCCTGGCCTGGTGGCTGAGGACCCCGCTTGGTTTCTCTCCTGCTTCGCGTGGTAAGAGGGCCACTGCCAGGCGGGCAGTGTATTTCCTGGGCTCACACAGGCTCTAAGTGAATTCTTACCTTAGACCTTGGACTCTAAGGGAGGGAGCTGGGGCAGCAGGAGGTTGCTGTGATTCCATCCAGACCCCCGTGTTTTTGGCCCTGTGGACCCCTGAGATTTTGTCACTCTCCCCAAGCTGTGGGACAGTCACAGAGCACGGGCAATGTGGGAGTGTGCGGGGGACCTGTGTGTGCAGTGAGTTCTCGTCTCCTCAGATGCCGGGGTCATCTGCTTCCTGGGACTCCTGGGATGGAGCTGTCCTGCACTTGTGTTGTTATCCAGGATGACATCACTTGACAGCTAAAGATAGTTTCGCTTCTCCAAATGCAAATGTAAAGATCCTGTTTGTGGGGTAATGTGGAGCCCAGGAGAGACTCAAACACCACCACCCTGTGTCTTTGGGCTGCATTTTACTGTGGCTGGATTAAAGGGTAAATGAGACTGCAGTGTCCTTGGGAAATGACACTGTAGCCGCTGCACAGTGTGTGGCCAGGGGCTCTGGTGCTGGGTCCTCCTTGCCCTTAGTAGGTGCCCCAGGCTCTGAAGTCGGCAGTTTCCTGGCCGGGCGTGTGGGCTTGGTAGCTCTGGGTAGCCCTGGGTGCGGCAGACTCGACTCAGGCACAGCACTGTGGGACTGAGGCAGGACCCTGCAGGGACCAGGGGACGACTGAGGGGAAGAGTGGACTTGTTAAAGGGACAGAAGGGGTGCTGGGAGGAGGTGTCTACCTTGGCTTCCCAAGTTGACAAGACAGGGACATTCAGCGTGTTTCCTTGATAGATTTTTCTTCTATATGAAATATATTTTTATTCATAAGCCCTCAGTAAAAAGCAATGCAGACAACCTGTGGGCCTGAACAGTCAGCTCTTAGGCTTTAGTTCTTCTCTTTTCTTTCTTCTTTTTTTGTAGTTCTGAGGATGGAACCCAAGGCATTTGCACTGAGCTACACCTCCAGATCCATTTTTAATTTTAATTTTAATTTTTATCCTGAGACAAGGCCTCACTAAGTTGCCGATGATGGCCTTCAGCTTACCAGCCTCCTGCCGCAGTCTTTGGAGTGGCTGGGATTATATGCATGGGCCACCGTGCCTGGCTTACCTAGACCTATTTCTGCTTGAAATGATTTTGCTTGAAATAATTTATCTTCCTGGAATTTGTGATTTTTATTTCTTCCATTCTGTGTGGTGACTTTCTTTATAGCAGGCATTAGCAGCACAGTTAACAGATGTACAAAGAACTACAGGGTACTTGGAAGCTATAAAACAGTGCTTGTTACATATAGCATCATAATTATATCTGTTTTGATCACTTGGATATAAAATATTGCCTTACACACAATAGTAATACCTGAATGTTTATAT